AAAAAAAAAAAAAAAAAAAGAGAAAATTAGAAGATCCTTTTCTGAAGATGTTCAATAAGCCCAGAAAACAGACCTGCAGATACCGACATTTATAAGTGCACTAAAACAAAATCATTTCACTATTAGATCAACCCTGGAGAAAGCTACAAATAGATAAGTTGCACCATAAATAGAGAGCTTCCTGCCAGATTTTCGTGTCTCCTCAAATATGAATAGCTAAAAATTTGCAGATGTCTGAGGAAAATCTTCAATCTGAGAAAAAGTTGATACAACAAAAAGGAAAAAAAGAATGTAGATGAAGAAAGAAATGAAGGGGAAGAAATAATTTTATTTTTTATTCATTTGTGTATATTTATTTATTTATTATTTGGGGGACAGGGGTCTTGCTAGGTCACCCAGGCTGGTCTCAAACTCCTGGACTCACATGGTGAGACTATAGGTGCTTGCTACTATACCTGGATAGCAAGAAATAAAAAGAATAAAGAAAATTAAACAGAAAAGAAATTTTCCTTGAACCAAAGGACATGAGTTTTGAAATTTAAGGGCCCATCTATTCCCAGGATAATGACTACAAAAGTCACCCTAAAGTATCGTGAATTTATAAAGTACTGGAGCTGGAAAAGGATGCTAATATTGCGGGGCAGGGCAGAAAGAAAAGGAGAGGCAGAACAGGAAACTAGAATGACACCAGATTTCTTAAAGGTAGCATCGGAAATCTACAAAAACACAGAGCAGTGAAAGTTCTGTACAACAAAAATAATAAAATATTGCTTGATAAAAGAAAAAAGATTTAAGTGGAATCATGCAAAATGTTTTGTTTTGTTTTGTTTTTGCAACATGTTATTTAGTATGGATTCAGCTGCAACAATCTTCTATGGTATCCCATACAGAATTATGGGTGGACTGAATACAATATTTGTGTCTCATCAAGATTTAGACATTGACATCCTAACTCCCAAAATGATGGTTTTAGGAAGTGGGATCAGGTAATGAGTGTGGAGCTTCATGATGGACTTGGTGCCTTATGCATCACACCCCAAAGAGCTCTCTCTATCTCACCACATGAGAATAAGTAAAAGGCTGGCATTCTGCAGCCAAGCTAAGGGCCTTCCCCAGAACCTAGCCATGCTGACATTCTGGTCTTAGACTGCCAGTGTTCAGAACTGTAAGAAATAAATTTCTATTTTTTATAAGCTATAGAACCTTTCTATAGCAAGGCAGACTAACACACACACATGCATGTGTGCACGCACACACACACACACACACACACACACACACACACACTGTGTAGCTCAGATTTGACTAGCTAATTACTACTCGGCAAATCCTGAGAAAAGTGTCCTACTAACTGTGCTTTACATTTTATAATGATTACATTAAAACTGTAGTTGTAATATATGACTACCATGAAATATTCAAGCAACACAAATGAAGTGGTAGATGAAAGCATCTTACCTTGCTACTGCTGATGCTTTGCAAGATTATGTTTTGATTTTTGGTAACTGTCATATCAGTTGGAGAAGAGTTTGTATCAAGACAAATGTCAAGCAATGATTCAGCATGTCTTTCTGTCAAAAAGAAATATAATATCATGTTTTGATAAGATCCATTTCCAATAATTTCACAGGAAGATCTAACTCTAGTTTTTAAAATCAGCTCCATTTTATCAGTTTCTTCCTTCCTTCCTTTCTCTTTCCTTATTTCTTTTGTTTTCCAATAATGGTCTAGGACAGTGATGGCAGAACTTTTGGAGCTTTTAATGATATAAATAGCCCACTGTGGCACACGTGCCACAGGTTCACCACCACTGGTCTACAGTCTTCTTTTTTCTTTTTTTTCTTTGTTTTTCTTAGATAGGATCTTGCTATGCAGCTTAGGCCAGCCTTGAACTTTTGGTCATCCTCCTGTCCCATCCTCTCCTGTGCTGGGACTATATAGTCCTGTACTACTATGCCTGGCTAAAGGTCTGGGACCTTGATAAAGCTTCAATAATTTTTACTGAAAGAGAGATGAAAATAACAAGAATCCACAGAACAGATGTTTCTTCAAATTTTTAAAAGCACTGGCTGCTATTATTCAAAGAGAAAAAAGTAAGTAGGCATGTTGAGAATCTGAGCAAGTAGAAAATTTACGAGAGTTAAAGTTCAATCAATCAACACTAGGCACCTACCAAATTTTAAATTCTATGAAGAATCAAAAGTTATTGTTATGATTTAGATCTAGAACGTCCCACCAAAGACTCATGTGTTTGGAGGATGATTGGATCAAAGGGGGCACTGATGCATCCATTGATGAATTCAGTAGCTAAAGGTGCCGTTAGGAGCTGAGGTCTGACTGGAGGTGGGTTACTGGGGCCATGACCTGGAAGGGTGCATCCCTCTCGCCAGCTCCTCGGCTTTTTGGCTGCCACAAAAGAGCACTGGTCCTTCCTTGGACTCTTTATCTTGTGTTTCTGCCTTGGGGCCTGCCGGCCTTGGGCTGAAATCACGAGCTAAGGTAAACCTCTTCTTTAAGGTATACTGTATCTCAGTGATGGGAAAGTAACTCAGATGCTCACAAAGAGTCAGATTTTGGTTCAACATAAAACAAATCAGCTCATTCTTAACGGAATATTGCCACTGCAGCAACCCTGTGGCGTCTGGGACATGAGAAAGAGTCATGTGCCCCCCCACCCGTCCCCCGTCTCCCATCGCCCCCTGAAACCATCAACAGCTGTTCAGCGTTAAGGAGCCTTTTTCTTTAGAGGTCCAACACAGACATGCACAATAAAGAGATCATCCTCATTTTCTTCCTTTTTGCCTTTTTGTTTACTCTCAAGAGTTTGGAACATTTGCATCCCCAGAGTACATAGTTGTGTGCCTAGTACAGTCACTGATCAGTGAGTAGTTGTTAGCTTGCTTTCTTTAAAGTAGGCTCACCAAACAGAGGTAGAAAGATTTCTGAAAGCCCCTTTTTAGTTTTCAGTGCATGTGAAAATGAAATATTTACCTGGTTTTGGTATAGAATTCATCAAGATGTCCAGTAACTGCTGTTTCCTCACACTCTTTATTTGTGACACATAATGTATTGTTGATCTTCCACTAAAATCACAGAGTTTAGGATCTCTAGGAAGAGGAGAATCAACATTAAAGATTATTTATCTTAAATCTGTTAAAAAAAGGAACTCAATATTGGAGAATAAACATTGATATCAAATAAAAAGTTATCTTATTTATTGGGAGGTGATAATGATATCAAAATGCACTATATAGAAAAAACCCAAAATGTATGAGTTAGAGGGTAACAATTTTTCAAAATTTTAAGAAGACTGTTTTCTGTATCTCATTCCTGACACCATTTTAAAGACATTATAAGATTTTCAGACTATTTCCAACTTTGGACAAAAATTTTCAAAATTTAGTGATGCATAATCAAAATAAAAGCATTTTAAATATAGTTTTATCATCTCAAATAGCTGACTTGACTTTTTAAAGTTTCCAGTGATTTAGTGCACTGACAACCTAAGCGGCTAGTTCTTTCATCATTCAAAATGTTGGAGTGCCGTAGACTCCTACTTTAAAATTAAGCTAGGGCTGGGGTGTAGTTCAGTGGTAGAGAACGTGCCCAGCATGCTTGAATTTAGTCCCCAGCACTACAAAATAAAACAAAACAAAAGAAAGCTGATTATGCTTTTCTCACAAGCTCTTGCTTGAGTAACACTATATTGTCATATAATGTCCTTTTTCACGTGATCATTTATTCCTTTTTCCCTTGCCTTGGAGTTCTTAAGCTCAACTGGCTGATCTTAGGGCTCTTTGCAATGACAAAAACATCTTATCCACTTCATGTTGTACTGAATTCCAGTTTTTTATACTGGCTCAGAGAGATCCAAAGTAAATAATGAGAATCCTACTAACAGATTATAGTGAGGAAAACAACTATCTTTGTTGTTTTATTTAGGACAAGGAACAAGTTGATCTAAATCCTTCCAATCCACACTACTCCCCCACACCTTGAATTTTCTATGTAGCGCAGCCTAGCCTGGAATTCATCATCTTTTTACCTCATCCTCTGGCAACATTTCCAATATGAGTCTCTTTGCTCCCATGCAGGGTAATGTGTTATTAGCTGCAACAACATTTTCTTGTGGCCTCTACATTAAGGATTGTTAAAGAACATAACTCAAGCAAGGCATGGTAGTACATGCTTGTCATCTCAGCACTCTAGCAGGCTGAGGCAGGACTGCAAGTTCAAATGCAGCCCAGGCAGCTTAGTGACTTAGACAAGTTCTGTCTCAAAATAAAAAAATAAAGGGCTGACGATGAGGTTCAGTGTAAAAGATCCTGGGTTCAGTCCTCAGTATCACACACATTAAAAAAATCATAATTCAAAAGATATAGGATTAAGAATTGGGGCTTCTCTACTTTGATGTAGACTTAGATGAGTTACTCAGTTTGGGACCTCAGTTTTCTCATCTGCTTTTGATCTCCTGTATTCTGGACTCCAATTCATACCTGTGAAACATCAGCTGCATATAGGCAAGGTGGGAAGTCAACCCATCAGTTTGCATTTACAATCGTACCAGTAGTTTCTTAACACTAAAGGCTGAGAAAGCTTCAAATTTTTATTTTTATTCTACTATTCTGATACTTTCATGACAATGCTCATCTCTGACATATTTTTCTTTTTAAAGGCTCTCTCTCTCTTTCTTCCAAAATGAAATTTGTGTAAATACTGAGAAAGGGTTGGCCCACCTGTTCTTATGTGATGACAAGATACCTAGGTAACACTAATGGGAAACTGCCATTAACCCTATTTCTTAAAAAGTTAATCATTAACCTCCCATCTCCTAAAAATATTTGGTAGAGAATCATTTTCAGGCAAATGGAAATCATTAGTATAAATTGTGTTTCATAGACTGGCAAAGTTATTCAAAATAATTACTGACATCTTGGAGGCAGACAGCTGCATTTTCAAGAATTATTTGACATTCCCAGTAGCTACCAAAATAGTAATTAAACAAATAACACAAAGAGCTGAATATCTTCAAAATAATAACCAATTTTAACATCTGTACCTAACCCTTTGCAGTTTCAAAGTCACTTTTATGATGCTGCATATGCATTTAATATATATGATGAAATCCTGTATGTCTAGGTTTACATGTGATTTATTTAAATAACAACAAAATAGATGACTTTCAGTGTACTGACTACTTGTACTCACGCATGATGCTTAAGGAGCTCAGACAGAACTTCCACAGGTCTGTAGACTGGTAACATATCAAGACTTTCAAACAGGTCCACGTCTCTCACAGCCAACATTAGAGGGGTCAAGCCATGTTGGTTTGGGAAATTTACATCCAGGAACTCTCCAGATGCCTTTAAAAACACAAGGCTTTATTTCTGTTGCGTTTTTATTACAGGCCTATTTATACAAATCTTCAAATTTTCACTGCTTAGCCAACTTCTCATCTTAACTTGTATTTTGCTTCTGGGAATCAAACCCAAGGCTTTACTTATAAACACATGCACTGCCACTGAGATACTACACCTCAGCCTTAATTCAGTATATTATTTCTCAGTATCTACCCTAAGAAGGAGCCAAAAACAGACAGCTCTTGGTCATAGACTTAGCTCTGTAAGTTGATTATTTCACCTCTCAGGATAGGTTGTCAGGAGCACCTTGCTTAAATAACTGATAAAATTATACTGCTGAAATCAGAGACATCCAGTTAAATGATGAATAATTTTCGTTTTGGACTTGCTTATACTGAAAGAAGTATTTGCTATTTATCTGAAATTCAAATTCAACGTGTTATCTGTATTTTTATTTTCAAAATCTGACTAACCTACTTTCTGAGCCTCAGAATCCTCAGCTGTGCAGTTGGAAAAGCAGTGTCTTCCTTGCAGCATTATTCTAATTATTAGAAGCAGAACATGAAAAGCATTTGGTAGGGTGTCTGACACATAGTCAGGGCTTAATAAGCATTTGTTGAATGAATGATTTGTAATCTTAAGGCATTTAACAGTGTTTATGTACTCAAATGAAGGTGGATATATGGATGTTATTAGTTGCTTTAATGAAAGTGAAATTTAATTTGAATAATTCAGAACTGAAAAGCTACTGAAAGGCCAAAATATCCAAGTTGCTCATTTTATAGACCAAAGTTATGCACTAATTTCCATCTCTAATTCATTGTGTTCCATGTTAGTGTAGTCAGCGTCCTTACCTCAGCTTCTCTAGGGACGAAACAGAGATAATGATATTACCTCAGCAGGGTGCTGAGGGAATTAATTAGTCAATCTTTTTTCAGTCTCAGAGAAGAAACTGCCTCTTAAACTGATGTTTATTATTAGTTAGACCCAACATGAAAGTTTTGAGCTGAGAATTGTCTTGCCAGTAACATATTATTTTAGTATGTTGATTAAGCTCTGTTACAGGCACTAATTTCTTAAAGCTTGGTTGCTAATTTTTAGGGGTGAAGAATGTGGTTTTTTTTTTTTTTTTTTTTTTTTTTTTTT